AACTTTCTTAACGGACGTCAAAATAAAAAAAAAACAAAAAAAACAAAAAAAAACTAATTGAAAGAAAGAAGAAACAAAAGGAAAGTAACATTTCTCTATTAATAAAACTTGTTAAAATCAGGCCGCAAATTGTTCTTTACAACTTCCAAGTTGCGGCCGGGGACCATAAAGCGGATATCATATTTATCAAAACGCATGCACAACACAAATTACTCGTCGAAATAAAGTCGACAGCGGCACGCGAGGTAATAATTCGCCGGTGAGAGCTTGTGCCACCGAAGTGCAATCGACTCTATGCGACGGAAACAGAATTCCGTTCTCATTGAAAATGCCGCAACGAATACGGCAGAAAGAGAGAGGATTTTTACGATACCGTGACTCCGAACAGTTCCAAGCAGTTCGCAAACAAGATCCCAATTCTAAAGTTGATTCGAAATAAAATGAAATAACACGCGCAATTGCATAAAAAGAAAAATACGAGAGAAAAAACAACATTTTGAATTTATAAATTTTCCAACATCAATCAAGATTTTTAACTATTACCTGCCTGGTGCGCTTATCGCGCACCAGGATCCGTCATTGCTGGTTCGCGCATTACGTGACAAACTTTTAAAAGGTCTCTGCAGGTGTGCTTCCTGCCGGGCTTAATTCCGGTAAGTGTTTCCACCGAAACGCTCGGGCCCCCGGTATCGATTTCGGGCAAGTCGCCCGGCAAATCGCCGAATTAGTCGGCTATCGTTTATTTTTTCGACGTGGCTCTCTCCCGCGCGATCGCGTGACAGGCGAATAATGCGCGCACACTCTCTCTTTCTTTCACTTTTTTTCTCTGTCTCTTTCTCTCTCGCCCCCCCCTCCCTCCCTGACAATGGGTCTATAATAATATAATAGATCGACCGTGTAGTTTCGCTGGCGTTTTGGCACACACGGAAACCGATAAAAAGCGGGACTCGAAACGGAAATGACTTTTAGTGCTACGGTGAAATTAGATTATCATCAAAAGAGGATGCATTAGATATCGCACGACTAAAAAAGAACGAACAATTCCAGCATGTGAATATTAACGTGTCAAAGGAAGAAAATATCGTGGAAATACAGTGGATATTAATTTACGTCTCTTTACTTCAACGTGTGGCATCGTAACACAGTTCTGCAAAATTGACGTCACATACGGACCATTAATCCAAAAGCTCGATAGTTAATTCCGCGCGCAAATGTTGACTGTTTTATCATTATTTTATTACAAGTTTTTAGATTTAAAAAACCAAAATGTTGAGATGTATCAAGAATAAGGTTGACTTGAATTATTGTGCATCTCTCATCAAACTTTTTACGCAAATAATTTATTTGCAGAAGATGCCAAACGACACGGTAAACGTGAAACGAAGAGAAAAAAGCGCAGGATTTCGAAATAAAAAATTTTTTTTTATCGCTGTGTGCGATATACATAGAAACGGAAAGGGCTCGTGAAAATACGCGGGGGATTCGCGGAGCTTGTCGGGCGCATCGGCAGTTGAAGAATCGAAGCTACAAAACGGTTAGTAATTTACGAGCGAGGCTCGCTCGTAAATCTAACCGAGTGAAGTTGCATTACCCAATTCCATTTATCTCTTTGAAAAGATGCGGCTCCCCGTATGATTCCCGAGCTTTTATTCCCTTTTACATTTTCTGCAATCTATTTTTCGATTTGGTACGCAAACAAACATTACGCGCGATTTAAAGCTAAACCATTTGACCATTAATTGATTCGGGCGAAATATATTTTCGTCACAGCGTATAAAATAATGTACTTTTAACGAACAACAAACAGTAGGTGTTTAAAACCCGTGCATGTTACATTCTTTTAAAATTGCCGTCCTTGTTTCAGCACGTAAAATTGAAATAAAAACAGGTCCTGTTATATAAATTCTGCAAAAATATTTGGTAACTGTCGCGACGTGCGCACGTAACAATAATTGTTATTACAGTTTCATTATACGGCGCGTGTGATATTACAACCAAACAGTTTACAGAGAGTAGATGTGTGCGTATTTGTTTGTGTGTGTGTGTGTGTGTGTATGTGCGTACACTCTCATGAGTTAATGAACTTTTTTTCTATTTATTATATCGCGTACAGTCCAGAGAGAAATGACATTTTAATCGATGACCTAAGATTATATGTATATGTATATATGTATATGTAGGGGATTCAGCTCGATCTTAATTGCGCCAAGCGTAAACGCAATTGCGCGTATATAAGCGATAATTGCCTCGACTGCGAACACGATGTTACGCGCGCGCGAGAGCCCGCGCGCCGAATCGGGAAAAGCTGGAAAACGTGCGGCGCTTTTCCGATGACAATCAGACCGCAGCGACCGCCGACGGAATCCCGTCCGCGTTCCGCCACGCCCAATAAAAGCCTCCCTCTCTGTTCTCCTCGTTTCCCACCCCCGCGGCCCATCCATCCCTTCGAAACCATCTCGTCGAGCGGCCTAATAAATCCGACAGACGGGATTGGCGTGCGCTATCAATTAAAAATGATGAAACCGAACGGCGCGCGGCGCAAGCGGAGCGGATAGAAACAGAGAGCGCCGCGCGCTGCATCTCGCGAGTCAAGCTGATTCCACAACCGCCTTGTCCGCTCCGCCGTAATAAGCTTAAGCGATTAGGTATACCTTGGGGGCGGCCCGAGACGGTGCGGTGCCACGGTTAGCGAGAGAGAAAGGGGGTGAAAATAAACGAGAGCCGAGGCGCGCGGACCGTTCGTTCGAAAAAAACATGGGGAAAAAAACGCGCAAGGAGAAAGTACGACAAACGACGACGACAAAGATGGAAAACGGAAGACGCAGAGAGAAAAAGAGAGAAAGAGAGAGAGAGAGAGAGAGAAAGCACGTCGCGGCAGCCCGGCGGGTTTTAAACGCAATTTAAATTTTTAATTGCGAGTCCGCCGCCGGAGAGCGACGCCTCCGTCGTCGCGACGACGGATGTCTCGCCCGCGCGCGCCGCACGCTTTGTTCCGAAGCACGCAGTATTCGTTCAAGAATTTTTGTTTCGAATTTTAACTTGATTTCGCACTATATCTCGATCAAGATCTATCCATAAATGTCCGATAAAATTGAGAATATTGTGAATAAAAATCGTGTTTGTTTCGAGTTTTTACTTTGACTTATCGTACGTCTTCTTTGTTTATTGGAATAACAATGTTTTTTTCTTTAATTAGCTTGTTTCTTTTCGCGTTTCTTATACGCATATTTAATTATACGCAGTATACTGCATCGAGGAAATAATTTACGGGACAATTTATTGTTATAATTATCTTCATAATTAGCCATTTGCGCTTAATTCTCTTTTGCGACTAACTTGTGCTTGCTAAATGTCTATCTATCGCCAGTTTGAAGCGAGAAAAGTGCGCGAGAAGAGTAAATTACAGAGCAACCTGATTACCGGCGACCTGCTTATCTCGCGATACGAACTGCTAGTTAATTACGGTGATGAAAGTGCCGGCGTTCTATTAGACGGAGAGACGATTCGTACTTTGCCCCGCTGCGCTCCAAAACTCTACCTCTCACTCTTTTAAAGGGCCATCCTATAATCCACTTAACGCGAGCGAAAATACTCTCTTACGTTTCTCACATTGCGTGTTTAATGGTAACTCTAACGAGTCGAGTTGCCACGACACTACGAATTAGTATGTGGTCGCCTGGATAAAATCCTAATTGCAATCGACGCGTAATCTTGACCATCGCCGAGAAACTTAAAGCGAGCGCGCGAGTAAAAATCAATTCCGCGTTCGGGAAAGGTAGAAAAAAAAGCAGGTGCTCGTAAAGGCCGCCAGTCGAGTTATTATCCCAACCGTGTTGCTGAGAGCTCCGCCCAGTAGCGTAACAAAGTGGCGGTGACGACGAGGCATGGATTGAGATCTTTTTGTATACGCAGACCCCTTTCTTTAATCCTTTCTTTTTACGCTTTTATCTTTTCTCCGTCTTCAATAAAAAAAAAAAAAAATAAATAACCGTTCGAAAAAATACAATTATATATACATCGCATTCTGTGTTTCAACATACATTAGAAGTTTTTGTAAAAAAAAATACAAACATATATACTAGACCATTCGTACACTAATTATCACTGAATAATTAATCTCGAATTTTATACTTTCTTCAAGTAGTTTTATATTAAAATTTTATTCTTATTTCTATATTATTTCTATTTATTATTTTTGCATTAAAATTGATTGCTCGTTCAAGAGATAGATAGAGAGAGAGAGAGAGAGAAAGAAAGAGAGAAAAAAACAGCACGACTTTTTACATTAAGAAAATATCGACTATTTTGTCAATATTTATTTACTTGTTTTAAGAGTGGAGAAATGAACATAAGTAGATGAAGAAACGCGAGGATTTTACAGGACCTTGTTAGGCTTCGATTGCAGTCGAATTATCGGAACCACGATGGCTGCGCCACTGGCGCCGTCATATACATGCCGCGCTCGGCAAGCGTGCCCCCGGGAGCCTAATCGATGCGTCGTCGCACGCGACTGCGTGCTTTTATCGCTGTCACGCACATAATTAATTTAATTTAGTCTAATACGTCGGCCCAGCGCGCCAGGCAGCGATTGTTGTTCCGATTGTTTGCACGGAAACGCCAGTCCTAGCCCCGGCCCGGTTCGCCCGAACACGGCATTCGTATCCGTCAAATTTCGGCCGGGAAAGAATAAATCAGCTGTTCGTGCAACGCGCTTTCCGCGCGCACAATTATTCCGCTCCCGTAAGTGAGAATACAAAAAAAAAAAAAAAAAAAAAAAAAAACGTCTTTTCACCCCGTGTTTAAAGCATGAAACATTATTTTACATATTTAAAACTTTACTTCATATTTTGTACGCGTCTCGATCCCATGATGCCAATTTTGCTTCGAACTCTTTCCTTATTCTCGAACATTCACAGAAATCGCTCGAAGGGAACTCGATATGTTCTTTTTTCTCTCTCCGCCGTCTCTGATTTGTTAATTATCACCGCAATGAGACTCACCTGAACGCGAACTTCCGGGAGATTGACCTTCATGGCGAGCTCTTCCCTGGAGTAGACGTCCGGGTAGTGCGACTTCTCGAATGCCCTCTCGAGCTCGTGCAGCTGGTAAGTCGTGAAGGTCGTCCGGTTGCGCCGGTGCTTCTTCTTGCCGCCGTTGCCGTTTATGTCGTCCCCGCAACCCGCGCCGAGTTCCTCGTCGCTGCCGCCGCCGGTGGAGTTGCAGCTGTTCTCACCTGAAAGCCGGCGACAGAGAGGGAGTGAGAGAAAGAGAGTGAGACAGCGGTCACATGGTCTCTCCTCGGAAACGATCGTTATGGGTAATAGGAGCGGTAATGGTGATCGATTTATCCGGAGTCGCAGCTATTACCCCCATTATGCGCGCATAATAGTAGCTATTAGAAGTGCTGCTACGCGTGGCCGCGTGAAAATTACGTGTGTACGCGCGCAACGGGTATACGTACGTACGTACGCGCGTAGTACATTCGTTCGCGCATTAAAACGTCATTCGCACTTCAAGATTTTTTTGTCGAGACTCGCGGCGATCGAGCAGGGAGAAAGAGAGCGCGCGAAACATGACTTTCGCTTCGTTCAACGTGCAAAAGGGACACAACGAGGACTAATTAGACTATTCGACGTGTTTAATGTGCCGCCGCTTGACGCTACGACGGTTCGATGAATGCGGGGATTAATCTTTCTCGCAAAGAGAGAGCGTGCGCATTAAGTACGTGCGGTTGTCGTTTCTTACGACAAGAGATTTGCTTGCGAAGATGCGGCAAGTAACACAACAAAGTGTACTCGCTCGGAGATAAGATATCGGGGTGTAAGTGATAAAATCAGCGCTTCGTGTACACAGGATGCGCCATTACATGGCGAATTTAATCAATCGTTTTCCGCGGTCTCGCGTTGGACGGCGAAACGACGAACGAGTTAACAAAAATCAGCTCTCTCTAATCATCCCCTCTCTTTTCTCTCTGCTTCGCGAATCATAGCAATTTACACTTTACGAGACTATAAACGAGTCATTTCTCGCGGTCTGATACTTGTTACGGCCAGTGAAAAAACTGGATATTGATTATCCACAATGCAAACGTCAAGAAACAAAAAACATCAGTTATAACATTAAAAAAAAAAAACATTTAAAACAACAGCATTTGTAAAATAAAAATTTCATAAACGTGACGGAAATGACTATTCCGATTTCCTCTTTTTTTTTGTTCACGCTTCTACTTCGATTCAAGAATTTTTTAAAAAACATGGAAAAGTAATTTAATCAAATGTACGTATTCGTTTAGCGTGTATTCGATGATTGAGACTAATGCGAGAATCGTCTAATCGTTCAGATGTACGATGACATCGCGGTAAAGGGCGAGCGGACACGCAGCTTTTTCTTGTCACGATCTCACGGAGTGACACACGACCGCGAGCGCCTCGGCGCATTTGTAATTCCCCAGTCCTATCGTTTCGTTGCCGCTTATCCGGAGTGCTTCATTAAGGCGACATCGCAGCGTCGTTATCGCCGTTTAACGAAAGGAGCAATGCGCGCGCAACGGGAACGGGAGATTTACTCGCGCCGCCGAACGATCACGCGATCATTTTCATTTGCAAAATAACATTACGCCGTATTTGTTAGAAACCGTGGCCAGGTACGCGTGCACGGTATTTCGGTCGAGGTCTAATCGATTTAAGCGCGGAATTAATTGTCCGACTGCGATACGCCGCCGTACGTTGCTTGATCATTTCACCGTCCAAATTATGCGCGCGCGTTGCGAGGAGAAGATTTGCATTGGCGATGACATCGCGTTTTTACGCGATTTGAGAAATAACAACCGCGTGTTTTCGCGAGACGCGATTTTTAACTGGAAATCGGCGCGAACTTTTACGAAACACAAACGATCACGTGTCTATTTAGGTACGAAATTTTTAAGAAAACACACGCGCACAAAGAGAGAAAACAATAACGATAAAAAAATATAAGTACACTACTGTTGCTGTATTATATCGTAACGCTCTTCGCGTCCGCTTTTGTGTACAGGATTACAATTTTCTCGCAAATTGCACGATCGTTGCCGGACCGTGCAATTTCGCGGATTAAATCATTAAAATGAGTAATCTTCGAGCACTTTGCGTCGCTGCACACACAAGAGAGAACTTTAAAGCGCGTCAACGCGCAGCGCTACTTCCCATCAAACAATTACACGCGATCTCTTTCCGTCGAAATTACACGTTTTGAAGGGTCGATGATTGCGCTCGCGGTGCCCAATCGAAACTCGCATTATTCTCGCGATAATACTGTTCGGATAATACTCGAACTCGATTTCTTATTAGTGTGTGTGTGTGCGCGCGCGTGCATGTACACGCTGCATTGTCAAATATTACGTAATATTTACGTTACAAATAAAACAACAAAAATCTAGGCATATAAAAGTTCAATTTTACGCTTTCTATTTATTTCCTTGTGATTCCCGTACTAAGATTAATATACGTGCTACACACAACGCGGAACGCTCTCGACGGGCGAACTATTACGCGATCATTTTCCCTGCAAATTACATCCATCCCCGGTTCTGCGGTTACTCGTCGACGAACGCCCGATCAAACCTCGCATTATTCCCGTCCCCGAGTGTAATATCGTCCAAGAAACCGAACAGCGCCACCGACGAAGAGATTGATCCTGCGGGACCACGGGAGCAAATAGGTATTTTCCACCGTACACCCTCTTCTCCCTCTTTTCCCCGCGCCCTTCGTATGCCTTCATCCTTCCGCCCCTTTTCGTGCCCACTCCCGCTGTTAAAGTCCTAACCTCACCCCCGGGATCCGTTCCTGTCGTCGATGAGGGGGAAGTTTCTCTTCTCTGTGGGCAGTACGTCTAGGGAGATCCCTTGTGCAATATATACACATGCCTTGTACACGTATATTCAGGTACTCTCATTAACTGCATAATTAACCTTCTCTCGCGTCGCAGCGCAGCGCATTAGATCGAATTGTGGAGGGGTAATCGGGTGGCTCAATGGCGGCGTTCCGCGCGCACTTGCGCGAGCGTGCGCACCACGCCACGCAGTCTCAATCACGCACGCAAAACTGTCTCACACACGCGCGCTCGCTCGCTCGCTCGCCCGCCCGCCCGCGCGCGTGCAGCACATCCCGACGACGACGACGTATAGCTTCCTCGCGAGAAGCTTCGCCCGGCGTTAACCAACAGCCTAATAACCTCGCCTTAGCCGGATGATTGACGCGCGCCTGTACCGGCTAATTATCAACAACAATCAATAATGCCCTCTCCCCTTCCGAGAATGCCGACGCTACCGTCCTCCCACTGCTCCTCCTGCTTCATCAGCTTCACTTCCCCTCTCTAACCCTTCCTTTCCCAATCCGCCCACGTTATCTCCTTCGGCATGTATCCGCATAGGCGACTAAAATCTGTTCGAATCTGTTCGACCGAACCTTCTTCCTCAGGGACGCATCCACGTGAAAAAACGACGAATCTTAAATCTGTGTTTGTCCGTCTTTCCACACGCCGATGCCGTTTCAGAATTAATTTTATACGGAAGTATGTTTGTCAATCGTTTATAGAAGGCGCATATATCTGCGAATCAAGCAATTAGACTTGCAAGAAAATGAGCAGATGCGCGTTATATCGGTGTCTCGCAAGTTATTAATTTAATTTTAGAGCTATTCAAAAGACACGCGAACCCACGCACGCGTACGAGAAGTTCACTCGTGTCGTGTAAGTTTCAGCCGCGAGACACCTGATAAAAGTTGGAAATTTACTCCAAGAAGTTGCGTTCTTGTTGCGTTCAATCGATCGCACGTGTACGAGGCGATCCCCATCCATCTCCGATATAAAAGTAAAATAAAAAAAAAAAAAAAACATCGGAAAATCTTACGACACATCCGCGCTTCCAAGTATTTTTCCACTACATTTACACATCAATCTACAGATATAATTAGCGTTGCAATTATTTGCAATGTTTTACCTATAAATAAATAATTAAAATGTCACGCGAGACGTGCTGCAGGCAATTTTCGTTCAATTATTTACTTGTACGCGTGGAAGTATTAAAAGGGGCGGAGTAAGTCTGAAACACCCCGCGCTTTCATATTATTTGCACGCGACGATTGCTCCGCACGGATATTCGCAGAAGCGGATTTCTGTGATGCGGGGTAGGCGTATACACACACACATACATAACACACACGACTGATTCGAATAACTGGATGCTCCGTGTGTACGTGCGCGGATACGTCTGCGCAATAATTGGTTTCGGTCGGGACAGAGTAACCATCGTGATTAAATCCTACGAGGCAGGTGCAGGGTGGTGGGAGCGCCCGTCGCTCTTACTACTTGCCGCCCTGTTATATCGAGGATGCACACACGGAGTACATATCGTCGCGAGAGCGATCTGCATTTTCGCAAATTAAACGTGACACCGCGCTCGAGTAAAGCGAAGACGTTATTTGTGAGATCGAGTGTGCGGACGGTCAAATAATCTCGAGGAAATCGACAAACTCATTCTTGCGGAGTTAATTAATGCAGTTTCCATGTTGGGCTGCAAAATATCGGGATGAAGTATCGGGATCCGTATTCTTATATATACGATCTAAAGATCTTCGTCGGAACAACCGAAGTGTTTTTACGTTTTGTGCGAGAGAAAGAGGGAGAGATCTCATCGGCGCAAATAGAAACGTTTCCGATGAGCGATTTTGTGACATGATCTCGAAGAGAGAGAAAGACGGACTACTGAGACAGTGTCCGGGTATTTCGCGTTTCACGAACGACGACGGGCGGAGAGATTGTATCGCGCGGATGCAAAGCGGTCCTAGTCGGTTTCTAGCTACTTAAGAGATTGACACGACGAGATAATATAATGGACGGAACGGACGGGGAGAGTAAGAGGGGGAGGAGGGGGGGGAGAGAGAGAGTAGATTCGTGGCTACCTCCCCGAGCCGACTCTAATGGGCCAACACTGATCGTTGATAAATTTCAAAACGCCGTGGGGGCCTTTTGATTCTTCTCGGCGGCTTAATCGAGTTAAGGCGTCGATTGAGGAACGCGCGTAAAGCGGCGAGCTAATGCGCCGCGCGTCATTCCCGAGACTCCGGAGAATGATAGCGCACGCAATCGCGGCCGCGAGCGCGATACAAAGCGGACGAATCGAAGCTAACGGCTGTGAATGACACTTTTCTACATATATTCCGTTGTATTTTATTGTACATAAATATATTATTGAAGCGT